GTCCTGATAGAACATCACCGGCTGCTTCCAGGAGAAAATCTCCCTGTTTTCAGCCTGGCTGCTTTCATCATTGCTTCTTTGTCCTTATAGTTAAAAACCTTCATTGTGAGTGCTGTGTTGTTGTTCACTGTGTACACCTCTCAGTGATATGACATATCACATCAGCCACATGTGCTGACGGTGAACCTGCTCTCATCCGTGAACACCACAGAACGTCAGTAGTTGTGAAAGACTTGGAGCCACACAGCGTTCCCGAACTGTTTCTTTCTTCCTTTAACGTTATGGCACACACAACGCTTGCAGCTCGGCACCTTTGGTTTCTCCGTGGCCAGCTTTCTGGTTGGCTCCACACTTCACTGCCTGTCCCCGGTGTCACTAAAGAGGGAACAGAGCTCATCAGTGTGATTCCTTCCAGCTTGTCCTCAGCCTCCGTGGCGCTGCCCCTCGAGCACACCCCTGCCACAACGGTATTTTATGGAAAATTCCAATCAGGCTTCACGGTGCCAGGCAGTGATCACAGGACCCACTAGAGGAATTTGGGCCCTCAGGCCACGCTCACAAAGTCTTTCTGTTTGTTTGGTCAGAAACTGGAGGTAATTTTGTACGGCTCTGGCAGTGCTCATCCTGTTCCTCTTCACACAACTCGCTGTCTGTCTGCTGGAATCTCTTAATGGTCTTGAGACACTTTTGGGAGATACAATAAATGGTTTAATGTGCTGTCCTTGAGCAGCTGGGCTACTTGTGTAACCTCTATAGCAGGTGTGGGGAACTCAAGGCCTCAAGGGCCGGTCCTGCAGGTTTTAGATCTCACCCTGGGTCAACACACCTGAATCACATGATTAGGTCATCACCAGGCCTCTGGAGAACTACAAGACATGTTGAGGAGGTCATTTAGCCATTTAAATCAGCAGTGTGGGATCAAGGACACATCTAAAATATGTAAAAATTGTGTATGTTTCTGTTCTGTGTCTTGTGTACTGTTTGTTTGTATATGTGTCTTTCTTGCTGCTGTTACACCCAAATGTCCCCTTGTGGGACAATTAAAGGATTATTCTATTGTAAAACCTGCAGGACACCGGGCCCGGAGTTCCCCCACCCCTGCTAGGATCAGGTGTCGTCTATCCTTTATTGTTCCTCATTGGGGAAACTCAGGTGTTCTAGCAGCAAAGTGACAGGCAGGCGTGCAGATTCACACAAAACTAAAGAGTAAATAAAAAAACAAGAAGTAAGAGGCTAGATCATCAGGAGCTTCATCAAAGGTGTCCACTTGATTTTATTGACTGTTTAACACATAAAAGTTCTAACCCGCAAAAAAAATCGAATAGAATGAAGCCAGGAAAATACATGTTTATATTGACTATTGTCTTAAGTTGTGAACATTTCTTATTTAGTTTTTGGATGTTAAACTGTTAAACTATGTAAAATCATATATACAGAAGCAAGAATGTTCTGATTCCCATTCACAGAGTTATTCACAGCATTCTCCTCCTACCACAAGTACAATGTAGGGTTAGCACATACGATGACTTAGACCTCAGAAGGTTAATAACTATTCTTCCACTTTGCAGTTGAAAATCTCTTCATGTCATTTGTTTGTTCGTCTGCAGACAGCAGTCATCAGCTACGACTATCTCACAGCTTTCAGACACGTGGAAAATGGCACAGACGAATACTGGCACCTCAAGTCAAAGGTAGAGAACCACTTTGTTTCTTTAGAATTGGGGTGGGTGAAATGTTGTTGTTGTTGTTGTTGTTGGTGATGAGCTGAAGGTGAACCAGACTGCCCACTGTTCTCATCACACTTCTTTCTCCTGTTTGTGAAACTTGTTCCTCGACAAACTGAAGAAGGCATATTTAACTATTCAGGGACATCATCATCATCACTGTTTTGGAAATGTGGTTTTCAGTACCTATTTAAGACTATTTTCTAACTTTGTCTGTCCAGAGATGCAGAGAAAATACTATGTAATGTTTTTAATCCTCTGAGCTTGAACCCATGGCAAGATTAGGGTTGGGCTTTAATGTAACCCTGCAGGCTTTTTAGAATAATAAAATGACTTTCTGGGGGTTAAAATGAAAGAAGGTTTTGATGTGTGTCTGTTTGAATTGTCATTTATTGTCCTTTGATTTCAAAGACTTGTAAGAATCATGTTCAAAACCAGGAAACAAATATTCTGACAGGAACAGGATTTGGTTTTAAAGTTTCAGAAACAGAAAATCAAAACAATTCGCAAGAATCTTAACCAAACCTTTTCACTTATTCATTATTGGTATCCGGTTGTTCAGTGATGACGTGA